CTGGCAATCATCCTATCTTCAGCAGATAACTGGTTGTTTTTCTCACCAATTCTCCGATCAATAAAGGCATTTGTTTTATTCATGACTTTCATTTCTACACCTAGAGTTTCCTTTCTCTAAAATTAAGACAAAAATGATGATGATGTAAATAGTTGAAAATAGTCGCTTTTAAAAATTTAAAACCTCCATCAAAACATAATATATGATATCGAATAAATATATTTTAACAGAGTTTAATTACTTTTCATTTTTGTCATGGTTATTGGGGGGACTGAGGGGATTAATATCCCTATGTCAAAGTTAACCCGTAGTAACTTCAGCTTTTTACCTTTAGTCCGATTTACGCACAGCACCCGAAACGTCGAGTATTACTAATAAGTTAATTAAACGCAAAAACAACCATAAAACTAGCTTTATTCAACATGTAGTGTTCGCGTAAATATAAGAAATTGTTACAATGTATGAAAACCTTACAATGTCACATGACAAGGCTCCAGACCAGTGACCCTAATAACTTATGCCTCTTTCATCATTCGTTCATTACAGCCTATAAAAAGTTCTCAACTGAACATAGGCCTTTCCCAGAGGTTGGCTTTTTATATAAAACTATAAAAATGAATACAATATTAAGGTCCCCTAAATTAGTTTACCATTAAACTACTCACCAAAAAAAAAATATTACCTTCTGCACGGCCTTGGCTCGTGAAACTCCTGGCAAGCCTCGATCATGTTTAGATTTCTTCCCAAGTACTTTTAACTTTTCTTTGTTGATGTGAACCTCGAACGGATTTAATTTTTTCTTATTTGCCTCGGATTTCTTTTTCATGTGCACTTTATCAGCTAATCCCGAATTTCTCTTATTTTTCACTTTCGCCATTTTACAATAATTTGCAGTAAGTCTTCAGCAACTCAAAATTTTTTGCCATTGAGGTTATATCTTACTTGTCAAACAAAAACTGTCAAATTCAAAATACACATGGTTTTGACATTTCCCTTATTTTTTTATTTCACTGGCTTTACGGCTCTGGGTACTAGCCCTTCTGCGCCTATCATTTCTTACAGAATCTTCATTTTATATAATTTTGCTTCACAATATGCCGATGCCTCACATTGCGAAGTTTTTGGGAGATTTTGACGACAACTTAATCCAGCGGACTGTTGGTGACGACAGCCACTCAAGTTCATAAGGCGCCCAAGCGATCAAATTAACTTGAGGTTTATATCAACATCAAAGCACTTGTTTCGTCGTTATCTCTAATAGTTCGCACGCGCAGACACTTAATTCACAAAATCACATCAGACACATCAAATAAAATCCGCTTCAAACCATTATTCAAGCGACATATCAGAAGCGACAGTTCGTCGACGGCCAAGTACCCGCCAAAACTCTCTTGGTTTTGACATTTACGGGGTAGGTCATGAAGGTTAGAGAACAGGAGAACGACCGCTGTAGAAAATACTGTCCTAGATATATGGACAAAATAAGTGAGACGCTGCGATCGCTAAGTTGTCTCAATAAAAACGAGCTGTTGTGCGCTAGTTTCAAATGATTATAATATTTTAATTAGTAGATATGAAGTAATACAGATTACACAGTAGCACTTTTTATTCACTCGATCAACGAATCACAGTAATTATATATTATTCCTTACTTAATGTAAATGAGCACAGATTTGAGCAGAGTAACTAACTTGTAGTAACCAGGAGACTCACAACCGAACGCCCACTAAGACACAGCAGTACCTTTTATAGTTTATAACGATGTTACGATTACCCACAAATCTTATTATTCTTATATAATGTGTTACTCTATGTTTTTATAATTTGTTAACCTTATAATCATGTATATAGGTGTAATATGTAATAATATATTATATAGGTGTCGATGGTTTCAAATCCATTGGTAACATTCGGTCGTCCTGATTCAGACGCGTTCCGCGGCGCTCATTATATTCGCCAATTTGCCTCTGAAAAGAGAGAAGAAAATTATGCAGTAAATGGTGCTATTTTGAAAAAGAAATCATGTAGACAAGATTTATTATGTTTGATTACAGGCCATGAATAAAGATTGAAACTATTTATGTACTTAGTTGTTTACCTCACAGTTCCGGTACATTGATTGAATTTTGGGCTTACTCGTTAGCCATCCCAGTTTTTTAACAAATAAGGATTAATTCAATTAGCTGTCCCGGATCTATGACTATTATGGACTTGTTCACTTAGCTGTCCATCACTTTTAACTATTATGGACTTGTTCACTTAGCTGTCTCTCAATTTTAACAACTATATACTTGTTCACTTAGCTGTCCCTTAATTTTAACTAAATAAAGAAAGAAATAGAATAATAGAAAATAAAAACAAGGCAAAAATATGCTTAAACTTGACTAGGACTTGTTCACTTAGCCGTCCTGGTATTTTAATCTGTACTTCAGCTGCTTCTTATATATTTTAATGTGTTTTAATTAAAACAATATTTTAGTTATTAACAATAAGTCAAAATTATTTCAATTAAACAATTACATTATGTTTTTTTTAAATATTTCTCTAAAAACTATATATATATATATATATATATATATATATATATATATATATATATATTGTATATATTATATATATCTGTATATATATTTGAAGTAGCTATGTTTGTAAGGAAACATTTAATAAACTCCCAAAAACATCAAAGAAACTGATAATATAGACAAATTTAAGAAATTGCTTTCGAGTTTTTTAATATATAAAGCATACTACTCTATCAACGAATACTTTGAAGATAAAATGAATGGTTTTTAGTACCTGCAATAATTAATGGACGATTTATTTATTATATGTTTATATTTATGTAATTGATAATTAAGATAATAATTAATGTTATTTCTAAACATACTAATTATAATTGAAATTGTTATTTTATTAAAAATTAATTTTCATATTGCCAGGTGATAGTGATAAACAAATATTTGTATGCCTTTGTAGGCGAAACATAGTGTTACTTATCACCTTTACCACCAAGTTTGTAACTTTTTACCTATGTTTTACAAATAAATTATTTGATTTGATTTGATTTGAAAAACTAATAAGATGCACACATTTCCAACAAAGGCAGCTTAACTTTCTAAGAGGTCTATCAAATCAACCCTATCTACTTCACGGTCGCTACATGAACTGTCATCATCAGATAGTGTTGATTTATATGATCGTAAGCTCTATCCACTAACCTAACTACAGCATTAAACTTTCTATAACCTTTCATACCCATAATACTACTTATTTTATAACGATATAGTGATTGTTCGGCCTTACGAACTTTGTATGGACCCGTGTATGAACCATTATATTTTTTGGTGACTTTAGCAGTTGTATCTCTAGCCACACCCCTTTCTATAAAACCAAATCTCCTACTTTATACTTTCGGCATTTTTTATGCCTACAATCGAACCTTCTTTTCATTAAGGTCATATTCCTGCTGTTTTTAGCTGCTCTAGCGAAAACAAACTTGGTAAAAAGAATATAGTATTACCTTTAAGATTTTTTATGACAGGTCCTAGGTGGTCTGCGTATATGGTATGCACGGGACAAGCTGCTTTGGCTATTGGGTCTAATTCACCCTCTAGTTTGCCGTGGTTGCCCTTACCGAAAGCGTATTGTAAGCAAGCGTTGATGTACTTACGTATGAACCGTGTCATGCCCGGGAACCAAAATTGTGTTTTGATGCTCTTCTCGCATTTTTCGAAACCTGGATTATAATATTCATAATACTTGATCGTGAAGTTTTTGTAACAACCCTTACTTGGCTAATTTAGGAATAACAAATCTATCAATGGTTTTACTAAACAGCAGGTTATCCTTAACTACATAATTGGCTACTAAGTCTGGATTAGTGCTTTGTTCGCGAAATTGTGTGAGGATATTTTGAATACCTTCATCTTGCATTTTAACCAATGCAGTGTTTTAACCAATCGTCATTATCTATCATGAGGACAAAACTCGAAGATGGGTTCCTACTCAGAGCATCAACATGCTTCATACGTTTGCCTGGCCGATACTCTATTTCTAGGTCGAAATCTTCAATAGTTAGCCCCCAGCGGGCTATACGCGGAATCAAATCTTTTTAACTAACGTAGTTCGCAGAGCCGCACAATCCGTAACTATCTTAACGGGTATGCCAGTAAGGTATATACGGCTAAAGTCTGCAATTCAATCGTACTCCACTGCCCCATACACTGCTCGAGGAAGTCTCCAACTGTACAGTCAATATTGTACAGCTGGAAGACTCTCTTTAGCCATGTATGGGGCACCGAGTCGAATGCCTTTCTGTAGTTTATTCAGGCGGCGGAGAAGTTCCGAAGGGTTGCGTTTCACCACTTTGCCAATGACCGCATCAATGAGGAGTGGTTCCTTGGTTCCACGACCACCACCCCGACATCCATTTTGAGCGCGTGACATCACCTGATTTAACCCCAGGTGACGAGTGACTCTCGCGCTCAAAATGGATGTCATTGTCTTATATATGGTGGGTAGACATGTGATGGGGTGGTGTTTGCTCGGGTCTGTGGTGTCCTGATCTTTAGGAACCAAGAGAGTGATCCCAGTAGTGAAGAGGCTCGGGAGCGACTTCTGATTGAGAGCCTCTTGAAACTGTCGGGCGACACAGCGTGACATACTACGAACCCCTTCAGCCAGTAATGATGCAGCCCGTCGAGCCCCGGACTTTTCCAGTGCGGAGCCCTACGGACCGCCTCAGCCACGTCTTCAGGCGTTATGGTGACGGAGTCCATAGGCGTAACACTTGGACTCTGGGTCGCCACAACTTCTATCCAAGGGCCCTCGCTGTGGTTTACAGGCTCTGACCACAGGCCATGCCAAAATGCGACAGTGTCAGCCTGATCCGGTCCTGGGCCCGCTCTACATACCTCTGGTCGCTCCAATGATTTATAGAGCCTCTTCTGATCACTCTGGAAGAGATGATTCTGGTTGAACCACCTTGACCTCTCGCTAAATCATTGAATCCGCTTCCCCCAAGCAGCGATTTTTTGCTTCAGGTCATCTAAGCGCTCCCTTAGTTTCTGCGTGATATCCGGCTGGGACAAACTAATATTTGTCCCAGCAAACGCTATTCTAACGGTGCGCACAACTCTCGGTCTATTATTACCCAACCTGAAGCTTGACAGTTTGCCGATAAGGGCCCTTGTCTTTGCGATATGGTCCTCGATTCTTTTTCTCCAGGCTGGGATGGCGCTACTTTGTTGAGTAGCACGTCCAGCCATGGGAAGTTTGGCTCCAATAATACGGCATACTTCCAGTGCGGCACCAAAAAGAATTGAGTCCGTCTCGCAAAGGTCCCGGCTGGCTTCCGAATAGGTCACCAGCATTGGGTTAAGAGTCCGCACGACACTCCGATTTTGCTTGCTAAGGGGTATGCGGGGAAGTCGCGGTCGATCTTCGAGAGACATGCTGCGCGTTTCCCACATCGGGTCTTCCAATATGCTCCTCATTTTCTCTAGTTCGTGGGAGACTATTCCATCATCATCTGAATTAACCACAAATGGAATATTGACGGCAGCATCCACATATGCAGTTTGCTGCGCATCTAGTGGCACCGCATTTCCAGCCGTAGCATTTCCATTCGATGGGGGAACAGCCTCACGTCATAGTCGGTCGACTTCGGCGTCACCAAATATGTTGGAGCGCAAGTTATACCGAACTCGGTCTGCCAGGTTTTGCTCAGTGACGGATAGAGATGGCTCCAGCTCTGCAAAAAAGTGATGCATCCGAGCCCGATACGCCAAACATCCAGTTTCTTCCCCTTTTGCCCTAAAGTACGCCCACAGTGCGTTTGAGTTCATTAATTGTGACCAACGCATGTGACGTGCTCCACCAGCGGTGGGTGCCGCTTGCTGAGTCCGAGAAGACCCAGCCGACACCAAGCCTTCTGGTGGGGATGATGGATGCGGGGGGCCACTAGGTGGTCTTGCAGCACCCAGCGCTCAGCTGGCGGCCCGCATGCTGTCGCGTCCAGCGCCAGCTCCAAACGCGCCCTGGTGACCTCCAGACAGCGGCCGTTAGTGCACTATCTTTTTTTCATCATCCATGATTTGGGCGTCCACTAACGGGAGACGCCCAGGCCCGGCACCGTATCGTTTATGGCCATAAGCACAAACGGACCTTTGCACCCTAAATTCTGCCGAGGCACAGCGCTCACACCTCTGCGTTGACGTAGCAGTTTTGTCACTTAACTGTTACGTCAGCGGGCGATGGGGTCGTCAATTCCCTACGCAACATCTATTATTTATTATTGTTATTATTATTTATTAATAAATAAATTAAAAATTAGGGTTTTAATAATTTTAATTATTATAGATATTAAAAATTATAGTTAATTAAAATAAAAATTAAAAAAATATTAGTATAAATTATTATTTACTATTGATTATAAATATTACTATTTTTTTAATAATATTTCACCATTTTATAATGTTTCTTCTGTCAATAATTAAAAAATTACTTCGCAGATACTAGGTACTCATGGTCATAACTTCATCTACTTGTACTCATAAACAGCTAATTTCGCAGTCACTACTCACCGACGGCAGCACCGCTATAAATTCTACAAATTTTCAAGGACAGGCGGGCTATGCTTTAGCACGTAGCGATCGTTCTCCTGTTCTCTAACCTCCATGGGGTTGGTCATGGAGGTTTATTAACCTCCGGTTATGAGGTAGGTAGTTCCATAGACTTAGAATTATTCTAAGTCTATGGGTAGTTCTCGTCCTAGCCTTAGGAAGTGTTAGTTAAATTGTTTATTTACATAAAATTAAAATATGGAATATTTATTATCACTATAAAAAATAAAACAAACCTATATATACAACATATATATTATTTCAATGAAGGTTTTTTAAATAAAAATCAATCAAGGTTTTTGTAATGTGAATATGTGTGAATCTCTCGGTCAAAGAATAAAAATTACCCCGTTTTACTCTCAGTATCGGTAGGGAGTAGGGTAGTCATTCTTATTAGTTTGTGATAGGAATATAAACTTAGGTACTAAGTCTATATGTAGGAAGTGTTATCACTAGGCATGCGTCAAATATATCAAAACAAATCTAAAATCCGATTTCAAACACAAATCGATTCGTACCGATTTCTCAAACTAGAAAGTCTAATATCAAAAATCGACCTGAGTAAATTAAACTCCAACGAAACCAAATACAAACGCAAACTGATTCATAAAAATTCGCTTTTTCAGATTCTTTCTTTCTATCTAAATATTTCAGAAATATCTTAGTAAGAGCGACCTAAGTGGTGCGCCTTGGGAGAGGCCTATGTCCAGTAGTGGACTGCCGCAGGCTGATGATGATAACTAAATATGACATAGCGGAATCGGAAGGATGGCGTGAATTTTGCCATTCAAATTTCAATTTGTCGGCAATGATTCGTTACCGGTATATATTATTTGTTATAAGTATATGCAATTAATATTATTCTTCCTGCTAAGTACTTAAAGTCTAAATAAATTTGCTGTGCTGTTTATTGCCTGTTTGTTTAGTAGAGATAAGACTAAATAAAATAAAAATTAGTTAACTAAGTGAATTATGTGTGAGTACCTATATATAATTGGGTAAGTTAATATAACATTTTTAGGCGGGGGTTAGTCTATTCTCTCTATTCTCTATATTATTATTATCAGTAGGACTAGATTAGGAAACAGACAGAACAGAAACACTCAGACGATCCTCTTCTTCTTATCTTTTATCCCACCCCCTTTTCCTATCCTAACCCAATCTAAGGTGTCAAGCGTACCGTACCGATGGATGCGTGGCTGGAGGGAGTCCAGTCACGCAAACGGTGCCTATCCAAGACCGGGGCGATTCAGGTAGTATTTTAGCCCTTCCCTCGACATGCAGAGCTCTACCGGGGGTGACCAAATATTTCCCTAGCCAATTTTGAGACTAAAATGGACGAAAATCGACATTTTGAAAAGATTAACGAAAAATCTCCTCTAATGGAACTATCTGTATCTTTGCAAGAGGCTCTTTTAGCCTCACCAATATCCTGTAACACTACGCCCTAACCTGGGACGAGCCGTGAAGTGGAGGGCAAGTCTGCAGCCAAAACACAATCTGAAACGAACCAGGTAGGGGAAAAGAAAAAGTTCGCTAGGCATTATAAGCTTAGTGGGGCAGCAAGGAAGAGGTACCGAAGGATGCTAGCAGCTGAGATAGGAGGCGAAGAGGCCCTATCTCTCTGCCAGAAGCCTTGGGACGAAATTCCTCTGCCCAAACCTCTCCCAGTGCCAAAGGCGAAAAAACGCAGTCGGTCTGAGGAAATCCCCCAAAGACCAGCCAAGGAAGTCTGTGAAGCTGGCAACGAGGAAGAAGAAGCTCAGCTTCAGTGCCGTAGCTGGCTCCACGCGTGTGGTAATTCGCAATTCGAATCCTATGAGCGTGGAGTAGATGCGGCTGATCTACCGGGCACTAACACGGGCCATCGCTAAGACGGCCTGTAGGGCGCAGCCGAGAATGGGACCAAAATTTTCAGGTAATTCACTCACAATCCAGGTTGAATTCTAGTAACATGCCTGAATAAGGTAAGCTAGTACTGGATTGTGGGTGAGATCGAAAAACTGAAAACCTGGCCGGAGGCAGAGCTCTCGATAATACCCGAGGGCTAATTGCCTAAGCTTCGTTGCCTAAAATTCGTTTCGTAAAAAAGAAGAGTATATACTACTAAAGGTAAACAATAACATCGTACCAATTTTACTTTTTTTTGTTAATTTGTGTAAATTAACATGTTAGTGACATTTTAGTGCCTACACGGGCTCCGCCCACTCCCCCGTTCTATTATGTATATATTATAGTATTCTATACTCTATGGGTTGTGATGCTAATGCACACCATACAGCCTGGGGAAGCACTAACATCAACGAAAGAGGTGAGCTACTTTATAATTTTCTCATCTCTAACCGCCTGGTAAGCCTAAACTTAGGGTGTACACCAACCTTTGTTACGTATGCTAGGCAAGAAGTGTTAGACATAACATTTGCTACTAATAACATAGATATATCCAGGCGGATAAATGACTGGCATGTTAGTAGTGAAAACTCGATGTCTGATCACAAACCATTAAGTTTGTGATTGGAGCATCCAACCTAAGAAACCGTTGCTTTTAGGAATCCAAAAGCGACCTTCTGGGATATCTACAGAGATAACCTAAGGAGGAATTTGGAAACGTTTCCTAAAAGCATCAAAACGATTGAAGGTCTGGAGTTAGCGACGGAGACAGTCACCGTAGGTAGGTAGTGAAGCCTTCGAGGACAGTTGTCCCGTAAAAACTAAGACCACAACACGAAAAGTGCCTTGGTGGAATAATAAGCTAAAATAACTTAGGGTAAATACCAGGAAACTATTTAATAAGGCTAAGAAAACCAAATAGTGGGATATTTATAGTGCAGCCCTAATTGAATATATTAAAGAAATTAGGAAAGCCAAGAGAGCATCGTGGAGGAAGCTATGCGAGGAAGTTGAGTCTTTGCCTCGCAGAGCAAGACAAAATGCTATCGATAGCTAAACTTAATCAGATCGTGCTTCTTAAAAAGCCTGATGGTAACTGCATTATTAGTGAAGCAGAAACATTACTGTTACTAGCGTCAACCCATTTCCCAGGGTCACACAAGACTTCAGACTTAAATTCTTTGAGAGCCCTACGAGGCCTTGTAATGAGGACTGGTGTAGGGCTGCAAAGATAATAAGGCCAAACCTGGTGCAGTGGGCTGTTAGCTCCTTTAAACCATTAAAACAAGTGTGGAGGATGGAATAATACCCATCCAACTGCAGAGGGGTATCGACATCCTTTTTCCCTATCTGGTGAAAATCTTCAGAGCAAGTTTTGCCATGGGGATATATTCCAGAACGATGGACACTTTTCAAAGTTCTATTGGTACCTAAGGCTGTTAGAAAGGACTACGCTTTACCAGTCCTTTAAACTGATAGATAGATATATAAGGGATGTAGCTCTAGCTACGAGGTCCATACATTACAAACCGCATGCTTACCGCAGAGGCAAATCTACGAAAACAGCCCTGATAAGTGACATTGAGGTGAGGATGTAAAGAAATAGCTATTTGTGCCTTTCTTGATATTGAGGGCGCCTTCGAGAGTGGCCCCACATCACTGCTGATTGGGGGCCTGGCATCTAAAAATGTTAAACTCCACAACCATCAGATGGGTGAAGTCGATGTATTTTGTCACCCTTCTTTGAACTCTTGCGGTTGACCAACTATTGTACAAAATGGCAGACCTACACATTGACACATTAGGTTATGCTGATGACCTTGTGATCATTGCGAGGGGCTTTTGCCAAAGTACTTCATTTTTAATAATACAAAGAGCCATAAACACCATAAATAACTGGTGAAGGGATAACAGATTATCAGTTAATGCTGATAAAACTGTTATAATACCCTTTACCAAAAAGAGACAGTTGGACAAATTAG